GTATATATATATATATATATATATGTATATAGTTTAACATAATTCCATGCCAGAATTATTTTTTTTCTGCAGTTTACTGAAAACAAGGCAGCAAATTTCCCTAAGGCAAAAATTATTGACCTCACAAAACTTCAGAGGTGGAAAATAAAATGACATAAAGCTTTAAAGTTGTGTTTTATTGGCTGCGCAGAGTGAGAGAAATAAAATTTACAGGCAACTTAAAACTGGAAAACTATTCCATTTCCTTTCCATATAGACACACAATCAAGCTTTATTAACCTCTTCATCATTGTTAGGTTAATTGTTAGTGGGAAAGATGTTAGTGTTGGATAAAATTAAAAACTGCTCGCTTGTATTACCAGGTTTCAATTAAATATAATTTACAGTTTGATAGAACAGTTAATTTCCCCTGTGCACTGCTGTGCTTCTCTTTATTGCTTGGCTGATATCATCCCCACAGCTAATGCCTGCTGTTAGAGGGGCTGTTTAAAATGTTAAATACATGCTACGGTTTTAATCACATTCTCTACATTGGTAACTCAGAGACATAAAAGGAGTCAAGTTTTTTGGCTAAAAAAATAGCACATTTCAAAAGCTTACCGCTGCAAGATGCTCACTCTGCCATGAAGTTAAAATTACCAGAGGGTTATGACTTAAGATCTAGGCAAGTAAAAATGATCTGGATCCAAACTGCAATGAAAACATGTCAGACTGTCACTGTTGGTGCTGCCAGGACAAAAGTATATCTCAGATTTTAAAATGTCTATCCCTTTCCCTGCAAAAGTAAAGAAGTAGTTCATGACTTGTGTCATCACAGCTGATGGGAATAAGCAATGGTCTGCTTGTCTAGTTGAGATCTAGAAGAAGCTGCTTCCATCTGCATCTGTCAAGAGACAAGCATCAACACATCTGACATATTTCTAGAAATGAGATTTTAAAGCTTTATATCATACTAAAATACATTTTTGTATGTTCTAGTGTTGATATTTCTCAGTACTCAGTCAAAGTAAAAAAGTCAAGTACTAGCCTATCTGCTGTCACATATGGTGAGCCATGATGGCTGGACATGGGCACTAATGACCTCCACAACCCTAATAGAAAGAAGTGTAAAAGATAATGGATGGATCCCTTTTCTTCTGGCAAACTCAAAGTATTTTATTAATATTTTTGAGTCAAGAAGATCAGTTTTTCCATAGATAATCCATAAAAGATTTGGAAAATGGGAGGAAAATTGTATTTCTAATTGAACAAAGCATTCTGCACATTTTTCTGTCATCTCTCGAAATACTTTATTTTGATCTGTTGAAGATTTATCCACACAATTCAAAAAAGCCCAATTCAAGTTTGATTGGTTCAAAAGTAAATGTATATTTTTTAAAGGAGAAGTGTGAGATAGCTGTTCTTTTTTATGAGATTTGCCAAATACTGACTCAGCAGATATTAGGCAACTGTTACATATGTTTTAAGTAACCGAAGAAAAGTCTTGCTAGAGCAACAGTTTCTCTGACTGGCCTGTTTCAGAGTGGACTTTAATCTATGCAACTGGGCAGACATGCTCATTCATGCAGAGCCGTAAAACATACTAAAGGAAATGAAAACTTTACAAAACCACAGTCGACATTTTAATTATAGTAATGCCTGTAAATCTACAAAGGGGTTTAGTAGTTTATAAAATGGGTTTCATTGCTGGTAAATAATTATGCTAAATAAGATATTGAAAATGCTACTTCAAAACAAAGACTAACTTTATGTGTTATTAGTTTTGTATGACAAAGCGTAGAAAATTTTGTAATGCAAAATTACTTCCTTAAAATGTTGCTGAAATAAACTTATTTTGAACCAGTTTTTAACAAAGATTTACATGAAATGTATTTTTATGTCGCAGCTCAGTAGTAAAACGGTTGTCTTGTGAAAAAAGCGCACAGGGAGCGTGTGCATGACTAGTTTGTGTGAAAAGGGGAATGAGATACACATTGATGTAAAGAACTTTTGAGAATCTAGAGAAGGTTCAACAGTTGGTGCTTTTCTAAATGTGTGGACCTTGTCCAACAGGAAAACCATCTGCCAGCGTGGATAAGTTCATGAATCTTGAAGCAGCCGTAGTTTTGATTGTTGCCATGATAGTTTAAGATCACAAACTGTTATCAAGTCAAAGTAGGGCTACACCTTGATGACGACTGTGTATGGACATTAATCATCCAGCTGAGGGGACGACAGAGAAGGTCATTAGGAATTAGGATAACAGCAACGTGATTATGTAGCAGCAGGTACACTCAGAGATGTTTACATGAGCTCAGATAATTAATGCTATTAACTTTCTTTTATATATATATATATATATATATATATATATATATATATATATATATTTCTGTTCAGTGCCCTGAGCTGACCTGTTGTGACTTGGTGCTATACAAATAAACTGAACTGAATTAGTATTAGCACATTCCTCCAAAAGGAAAACGAGAAGCAATAATAATTTTGGTTGCATCTGTGTGTGCGTTTGTGTGTCTGTCTTTTAGCAAAATATCACATAAATAACTGAACTGATTTTAGTAAAGTATCCATCGGATGTTGGGCTGGGTCATACATCAACATGTTAACATTTCGAGACAACCCAATTCAGTATGGCTACAGCCAACTGAGCTTAGCCAACACCAAAATAGCTTAGAAGTCATTTTTAAAGAAACTGGCCTAAGATTTGGCGAGGTGGTAATTAAGAGGCATTCACAGCAAGTACGAGCAAGTGCTACTCAAAACTCGAGGTTTTTGCAATAACAGTTGGAGTCAATCTTGTTTGAATGCTAGCAAAATATTTCATAAGACTAATGGGTGGATTTTAATGAAAAATTCTGAAATTTGTTATGCTTGGAGTCAAGCCAAATGAATGTAGCGGTCACAGGCACTCAACATCACGTAACAGCGTAAAAATGGATAAAGCGAAACTCTGTCAGTTGAGCGTGACATAATGAGCTTGCACACAGTCATTTTTAAGATTTGACCAAAACAGCTACAACTCCATCACAACTGATCAGAAATTGATTTTAGTCCACGTGCTCAACCAGACTCTTGAATAATAAGAATAATCTATATTTGTTCAGCTTAGCTTGTTCCTGAAACATCAAGGACTTCAGAATTGGAGCTTTGCAACTGTCCACTCAATGCTCTAATAAATCTATCTGGTACAGTGTGATTTATTAAAACAAATGAAATCAAAAAAGGGATTATTTTCTTTTGGTCAGTAAAATCTTTGACTCGTAGGTGTTGATGTTTTTGTCTCAGGGACACATGGGATCCGTTCCAGCTGAACCCTGTAGGAGCAGAGAAGGAGCAGAAAAGAAGATGTTTTGTGGTGGCCCAGTACCTCGTGGCTGTAATCGTGGGGGTGGCCGTTTTAGCCAGCGCTGTTGTTGCCAAGGTAAGGTCGCCTTTATTTATAGAAAGGTCTGTACATTTTACCATTTTTATATTTCAATTTCTTTGATTTTTGTAAAACCATTTATATCACGACACAACGGAAGGACCACCATAACAACCGATTCCTAGATTTAAACATATATTACAAGTTTCAAAAGTTTTCATATTTTCTGGCTTGCCTTTTTTTTTTTTTATTGAAAAGAAACAAAAATGATGTATTAATCTTTTAAATCAAAAATAAACTAAGAGCTCAAACTCACAACAAACAAACTCACAAAAAGAAGTTAAATAAAATTGTGTACTTTTATTAAAAATAGGTTCAGTAACTACAGTATTTTCTTTTTGGTTTTCCTGTGGATTATTTAACTCTGTATTTATTCAGGTGTTTTTTTTTTTCAATAATTCCATATACACATAGCTGACCTTTGTATGGGAACCAGACAAAGGGTTTTTAGATGGTGAACTGCGGATAAATCTCTTGAAGCTAATGTTCCTGAGGAATTGGGCAGCAATACATGTTTTAGAAAACTGTTTCAAATGCAAAAATGTAAAATAACTTTTTTATATTTATCGCCAACAATAAAACAAAAGCTTTATGGGCTTAAAAGGTTTTTGTTTTTTTTTCCTGGATCATAAAATAATCCCATTCTTGACATATCCTGTAAATATTCTTATCAAACTAGATTCCTGAAACCTTCTGTACCTGGTCATATCTCATTTTGCAAATGCCTCTGTCATGTTATGTATTTTCTTCCTTGTACATAACATCCTTAATATCCTCTGTTAATGTTTAACTAATTGTACCTGTTTTTCAGCATAGTATCCACCTTTGGCTTTGTGTTTCTTGCTGCCTTTACAATGAGCCACATGTTACAACAATCAATAAATGTCCATGTATTTGATTTTAGACTGGACTTCCTTATTTGTTTGCAGCTAAATGACTTTTATATCATGATGAAGATGGGGAGTCTTCATAAATGTACTTTACAGAAAGCCGTGGAAGTAAACAAACTTTACAGTGTACAGTCTTTTAAACTTTAAAGTTCAAGATTGAAACCAATCAATGTAGAATAACAGTGCAAATTTTCAGTGTATGATGATTTTCTTTTTTTATGTTTTTTTTTAAAGGGGTCCCTTTTGATGCTGTCCACTCTATCCAGTCCACATTCATTGCGCACATCAAAGGAAAAACAATTCTACAAGCTAATGTTGGTGTTCTGCTTGGTCTGCCCAAACTTCCTGGTTTTTATGAAATCTCTGTGGCGTTGCACATTCAAAAGTTTTGTACAACCCAACATGAGGACCATGGCACTTGTACGTTTCTCTGACCTTTTATGAATTCATTGCATGACTCACTTTAAAGACCATATAACTACGTTCATTTTCCTTCAATCGTTCATGTTTAAAGTCTTTTTTGCCATCGATACTGAGCAGAAATATAAAACGAGGTTCTTCTGTCTTTTCCAGATTTGTGTCATTGAATGTTTAGTGTCCCTCGGTACTTCAGTCCTGGTTCTTGTTGTCATGCCTCAGTTTGACATACTGACTAATCTCTTCATCAGTGGAGGGGTCTGTATTGTGTCGGCAATACTGCAGATAATTTTCAGACTGCAAAGAGAAACGTGGAAAATTATCTTCCCAATCTGCTCCCTCATTCTCACAAGCGCTGGTAATGATTCTGAAATTATTCTCTAATATTCCCAAAGTATATCTGAGAATATTTTTCTACATTCATATTTTGACAATTGGAAGATAACGAGCTGTTCAGTCTAAAATCGGATAGAAGGAAAAAAGTGTTGATGTGGACAAAACTGTGAAAGTCTTTTAATTTGTATTTCATCTTTTGTTTTAACACATAAATAGTTGCTCTTTTAGTAGATAAACATGGTAAAAATGTGATATAGCTTTGGAGAAGCTGCAAATATGAATGTGCTCAAACAGAGAAACCTCATGATGGATCACCCAACATGAGTTGATGGATCATTGGAGGTTCTTTTATTATTGATATTGTGACTTTATTCTCAAAATATAAAATCAAATAACTATTTCTCTTGTTATGGTTCAAATTAGATTTTAGTTTCTAGTTTAAAAGACTGAATAATTGACTGATTGACAGGTTACTGCCTCCTGGGAATGGACTATTACGTTCGCATCTCAACGTATGTGGATCAAGAATGCGAAAACTGTTTTGTCTACGTGGGAATAGGAATTTTTTCTTCTCTCCTTGTCTCCCTGTGCTGGTGGGAAAACACAATGCAGGCCACACACAAAATGCAGGTATGATGTTTTACTGTGGCAAAGCTTCAGCTAGGTATGAAATTGCTCCATGCCAGTACATTTACACACCAGAATAAGCTATGGTGTTCCACTAGGTTAAGTACTTGGACTCTTCTTTGTTTAATTTATAAAAAGCTTCCATTGTCATATTTTTGTTTTTATTGTCTCTGTTAAACTGTTATTGTCATATTGTGTCATGACGATTTGGCACAATCATAATTATTATTTTTTTGTCTTTCAACAGGACACGTTGTCAGAACTGGAAGGTTTCAGGGACTTTGTCTTTGTGATCAGCAGCATTTTGAGAATACTCGTGATAGGTATTTATCAGTCGTCAATTTCTATATTACTGCAGTAAAAATGCTACACAGTCTAAAAATGTTTCATCAACATAGTATGACATACATATTACATTTGACATATGTAGTAAAATCTAATTCCCAGCATTCAAAACCAGAGAACAAGGATGCTCCATAGTTGTGGTAAAGTTTTGTATTGTTTAAATATTTTTAAAGTGAGCCTTTCTTCCCTCCACAACATATTGCCCATTGATTTGCTTCATTTTAATATTACAGTCATTTTGCATCATTCAATTGCATTTTAATATAAAAAGGTACTCATTGCAAATTGTAAAATAAAACATAAAAAAAGGTTATCCTTAGCTATTTTAAATAGTGCTATTTGAAAGAGTATGCTTCAGTAGTTTTACAGACATTATGATATACATTTCTGAAATCTGGTACGCACTCAATGTAAACAAAAGACTAAGCTGAATTCACCAAAAACCAAGTGGCTCTTATAACTACAATGGCTCAAGTACCAAATGGCAATCTTATGGCTCAAATGGCTTGAGCCATAAGATTGGCCTACATTAGGCAGGCTCTAGTATGTGTGGATAAACAAATGTAGCAAAATTGGACAAGCAAAGAATCTTGTAGAAGACGTTTAGGAGGAAATAATGAGTGAATCTGTTACTAAATGTGAAATAAAATAGTAATCTCAAATAAATATCAGGGAGCAGAGTAATGGAGTGTCATAAAGACAGAGCTCAGCATTCATACACATGCAACTTTTGCAAAACTCGTGCAAACTTAGTAACTTTACAGTTTCAACTATTTTTTTTTCAAGTAGCTCTTTTACAGAAGTCACCATTGTTGGATTATTTTGAGTCACTTTGGCTGTTTATACAGATAAAGAAATGCTCATGGTAGTAGTCAGCCATTCACAAATTTTACTTATACTTTTTTATTTATTTAAGTACACATTAACCATCAATATCAGAAATAATATTTTTAGTTTATGGATTTTTTTTGACTGGTCCTTCTAACATTGCATTGAGAATGACCTTTAATAACTGTGTTTTATTTTCAGTTCTGTCATCTAAATATGTTATATGGTTATTGTCTTGTAGGGGCGGTGTACCTCATCTATGATGTGCTCATTAAAAGAAGCTTTGAAAATGAATATAGCAAAGACAAAAGCATCGTCTGGTCGGACTTCAATCTGCAGGATGACGACTGGGAACTCCTACAAATAGGACTTGTACTTTTGTTCTTACAGGTAAGTCAAAAGAAGGCATAAACATATTTTAATGTATTTTGTAGTTTCCCTACATCAACTCGTGGTTCATTTTTCATCGTCTTCCCTTGATAGACTTTCAGAAATAATTGAGGTCACATTTAAACTTTTTTTGATGAATGATTGCGGTACTTCCAGTACGATTTTGTTTAATTAAGCATTATGCACATTTGTTGTATTAATTTCAATAAAACTACTACAGGAATAAATTATTTGTTTGCAGAAAATGCAGAACCTGGAAAATCACTGCAAATAAATATTATGTTTCACATGAGGCACTCTAAAATACGGAACTTGGAAAACTTTTGTGCATCAAGTCCTAATTGGATAAATACCACAGCAGATAACCAAAACTGCTTAATTATAAAATGTTGTCTACAAAAATCTTTATGTACTGAGTGCAGAAGGCCTAACACATATTGACCCATAATTTCCACCAGGCTTTCTGTGCAGCAGCCTGCCACTGGTTTGGTGTGGTGGCCTGTAAGATCCATGCTGTCAGGATGAGTTTTGCTATACCTCTATGCTGCACGGGACCTACGGTTCTTGGGTTGGG